CAAGTTAGGGCAAAGATATCTAATGATGATGATATAAGGCACTTAACTGGTAATCTTGGATGCTAAAGTGGAACTCCAAGACTTTGCAATGAAAACACACTACAGGTTTTTTCTAAGAAATGCTGCTTCTGCTGAAGTCAATGGTAATTCTACAATTGGCTATATTTTGATAAAGCTTCTTTTCCACACAGAAACACTTCACTTTTTGTAAGATAATTACAAAAATAAAAAACTCCTCCACTGGTCCCTAGCAACTGCTGTGTTTTTCCCTGTGATAAAAACTGAGTACAGAAAATCTGCTCAGAAAATAAAAGAGTGTTCCTTTCCTCACCCACCCAAACCAAATAAAAGGTTGCCTCTTCCAAGCAAATATTAACAGAGGTTTTGGTATGCTTATCCTTGTTCTTTCTTTTTAACCTCTTTCTATTTTTGGGTTTGTTTTTTTTTTTTTTTTCAAAATAGCATGGGTAATATGGTTATTGCAATGTTTCTAGCCCAGCCTAAGGCATAAGTGTGAAATCTTACAGAAAAGCTTTCTACTGTAAAATGCTGTAAAATACTAAACTCTGTTCTCAACCTTAAGTACCTCAAAGAAAAATTCTCCAGTGCAAAAATATCATACTTGTGCTTTCTTCATAAACTTCATGAAAAGTCATCTTTTACAACAACAACAAATGATAACTCATACTGTCTAAAGTTTACACTGAATTGAGTTAAAAAGAGCCAAGTTATCACTTCCTTCTAATTCTGCATGTCTGGTATTCTCTAGAACAAGGGTCTGCAGCCTGTGGCACACACAGATTCAGCATTTAGCATACAGCGTACCACAAAGGTTGCATGGGGTCAGGAGTCATGAGCAGATGTAATCTGAGAATAACAGCAGCTTCCAGATCTTAACTCTTACTCTCCACCAGCTGTCCCAGGGATCAGCCAACAAGCAGTGCCTTTTGGAAGGCATGTGCATACCCAGGTATAGGTTCCATGCACTGGCTTTGGCACGGTGAACTCAGTGATCTGTTGCTATAGTGCTGACTGCTCAATTCACATTGCAACTACTGAACTGTGTCACCTTCCTTGATTTTGCGCCTCTGCTCTGGCAAAGTAGAGCCAATGTCTGAGACATCTCTTCCTTTAATTATTCTTGATCTGTGCATTGCATTCCCTCCAACCTGTACAGTGCAAGTAAACCAGCTCACTCTAACAAGTGCTGATCATACCAGCTCTTCAAGGCCTCAGCTAGTCCTAGGTAAAGATTCAGTTAGGGTTCTGACCTATATTAAATATGTAGTTAAGATGTAATATGAAAACCAATACTTTCCAAGCCCTTCTGAAATAATACTGGGACAGATCACCTCTAATTTGACAAAAATCAAATTTGGTACACTATCACCGAGAGGCTGGCCTCAGCCTAAACCACATGATTGATGCTCTGCAGTATAATCTGCATAACATCATTCATTCTTCTAGTAGGCTCAGTACTAATGAACTAAATAAAAGTAGCTACATCATACTTTGATGAGATGATTCAAATAGGTGCCTTAGCCTAATGAACCCACAGACCCAACAAGTAAATCAGCAATGCATTATAAAACAATAAGACAGATTATAGCAGCCAAGTAGCGATTTAAAGTATCAGTTACATTCATATGGCAAAATGAACAAATGTACAAATACTAGAACAGTACTGAGTAGGGGCTAGGGAGCTATGCCTTTTCAAGCAGATAGCAGCAGCACCTTGCTAGCAGTGTATCATACCTTTCAAGGACAATTATAGCTTTAAGTGAAATTACTCTGAGCAGTTCAATCAGTCAGTCAAACAGAGAGGCCATTTCACAGCTTCAAAATATAACTTTATTTTTGAAAAAAATCCCAAACATAAAACCCCAAACAAAACCAAACCAACATTTTCATGCACATGCCAAGAACTGTATACATCAAAAGCCGAGCTATACAGGTATGTTGCTTTGTCATTTATCCTGCATTCTTTTATAAAAGACCGTACTACTACACTTATTTAAACAGCTAGACTGTCTCACTTTATTTCTTTTTCTTAAGCTGCTGAGACTAGAACTAGTAAAAAAAAGAGGTTAGTCCAGGATAATGAAGGAAGATCAGGGAATAAATAGAAACAATTCAATTCTGAAGTCAGAAACATTTACATTATTTGCATTAAAATGGACCAAATAGGAATGCAGTCATGTATTGCCAACATTTCTGCCGCTGGTTTGGGGATAATGTTGTACCTAGAACAAAACACTGTCAGCTATTTTTCCAAGAAGCTGCAAGGATTAATGCTAGCTGTCTATTTTTAAATACTTGGAAGGTTTTCAAATACAATGACAATGAGATTAAGCAGACAAAAAAGAAAGGTATTTTCATTGCACACTATAATATTGGTAATAACCAATTAAAAGAAAATGACTCTTGTATGATCTGAAATTCAATCAAAGTGTTCCACTAAAAATGAAAACAGAGAGAACATTCACTGGTGTATGTGAAGGCAAACAGTCTGTACAATCTAACACTGATAAAATGTTACTATTTTCAAACCCCGCAGTAAAGAAAGTAATTCCTATTTGATATCAGCCTCCACATCATGACAGATGGCACTGATCCTGTTCAAGCAAACAATTTATGTCCAGCATTATGGTATCCTATAACTACAAACTATCAAAAAAAAGAAGATTGGCATATTCCACCAGCAAATGGAAAGTAAATACCTAGCTTTCTCTGTGCGCTATGGTAACAACCATAAAACTATAAAACAGGAGCAGCAGCTCTAAGTTATGTTCACGATTAAGACAGAAACACTCTGTGATGCAAGAATACGAGGTGAGAAAATCAAATAACAAATAAGAAAAGTTTTTACTGACAAGGTAAGTGGAATTTTGCTTTCCACTTACCACTTCAGTTACAGAGCAATCCCCTCATGAAGTTTAAATTTTCAAAAATCTTACAAGTCACAAAGATTACTTTTTTTCCCTCCTAGTTTATACCTGCTATGTCTTCCACACAACTCTTAGATCAGGACAGCATGCTTGAGAAAGGTACTTTCAGCCTAATATTAGTGATAGCAGGCACACTGTGAAATTCTTATAGTTTGCACCCTCAAATCTTACTTTCATCCTTGCTTGAACTATGCCAGCTGAAGAGCAAATACAAGTCATCTGCTGTTGTGACTGCTACATCATCGTAAGTTCCAGCTGAGGTGAAATGCTGAATGCTTCTTAAATAGTGTCAACTAGAGTTGTCAGGAGATCATAAGCCAGAGCCCCAAGCAATTTGGTTAGAATCAGAGAGTAACTGGATTAGCAGAACTACTCAATTAGTATTTGATGAGCTGTGTAATTCATGTTATCTTCACAGCACTACTAGCTCTAACACCTGCAATATGAATTAGCATCTATCGCTTCACATGTCAGGTGACTTGAGCCTCACTTAATGCAAACAAGAGATTTGTGCAAAGGTTTGCACTGAAACAGGTGAAAAAATCAAAACTAAATATACCTCAATCTAAAAATTCAGTAAAGAGGCTTGCCAGCTCTGGAGATATGTTCTCATTTAATCTTTCATTTTAATCAACTTTAACAGGTAAAGCTAGGAGATACTCTTTCCTAGATGCAAGATACAGTCAGTCAGACAATTGGTAGTATTTTGTCTCTGTGAGAGGTGAAAGACTTTCAGAGCCCAGCAACAGCAATTGCTGGATTCAGTGAGGGAAAGGGCCCCTGCCTTTCATAGGGACAGAAACTGCATGGTCCACACTGCCTTGAGACTTTGGCAGCATGTCCGCCAACTCTGTTGTCACACGTCAGTCTGTAACACTGTAGCACTGAAGGAAGGCAAAATTGTCTCCTTAAGCAGCTGCAAGAATCAGGCCCATCAAGGTAAGGCATATGTACTACTTTTTGAACAAACTGCTGGCAGTAGTATGCTCCCATCAGGGCAGTCTGAGTGCAGAACTTTTCTCTTTTACTCCTGCAAGGTACAGGGGTGCCTATTCAGGTTTTAGACATATTTCATGCAAATCTGAAGCTTCCTTCCAGTCATAGGATGGCTAGACATCCTGACTATAATTACAGTGAATTAACACTGAAGAACAACTTTTGGCTTTCATAATAAACATAAAATAAACATTTAAAATTAATGTTTTTTGTTTATTTTTCTTTTTTTTTAAAGTGCTGAAAGGGTTTTTTTTTTTGCTGTTCCCTTTTTAAATTATTTTGCTGTAGGTATTCATATTTACAACGATCAAAACTTGAAACACGCCAACTATAGTGATATCAGCTCAGTCAATCAAACAGCACTGCAGTTAGAGCTTTATCCACCTCCATCCCTACAACTATTCCAAAGGAGAAAGACAGAATAAGTTATGTTACTATTTATAGTAAAAGGAAATGATAGATATGCCCGCTTAGTAAATAGTAGGCAACAGTGAAAATACAGTAATTTGGACTTATGTCTTCACTAATATCTAGTAATTCACAGGTGGCATTTTACATCTGTGTGCTGTATTTTATTTGACATCTTCACAATCCTTTTTAAGTCAGTCACAAATCCAAGCACAGTTAGCAGACAGGGTATTTAATAAAATCAGATTTATAAAACTATTACTGTGTGAAACAGAATTTCACCTATTAAATTTTTCTAATAAAAAACCCAGCTACTCAAATCAATAGAGAAGGAAAAACAATAAATAATAAAACAATGAGAAATTAATTGAGATCTTAACAAAGCTATAAATACATCAAACATTTCTGATGATATCATAATGCACTCTACATGGTTTTCCTTTTTTCTTTTTTTTCCTTCACAAAACCTCTCCTGATATCTGCAGTTCCTAATAATTTATTCTATAAATACAGCTTAGTTGACTAAGGCTGAAATGTGCTAAGATGCAGTAGCGTTTCAAATTCATACATGAAACAATTTGGAAGCTTCCCCCAGGCATTTGCTGCTGCTGCTCCCACTGCTCTGCTACCCACAATCCCCCCATTTACCTGCTCGCTGGGCTGCCTCAGCCCTGGTCAGGAAGTGGTAAAGCTGATCCAGCTTATCAGGCTGCTCCTCCAGGGACTTCTGCTGCCATATGGCTGACCCAGGCCCTGCAGCCTCCCTCAAGGCATTCCACTTCTCTATCAGAGCGAAGAGCTCGGAGAAGGACTTGTGATAACCCTGTCGCAGCATGTCTATGCAGATGTTCTTCTTGTATGAATTCCTGTTACTGGGAATAAGAAAGATAGATTTTAAGCCTTTAAACCCATACTCTGTTCTCTGCCTTACCAAATAAGTAAAGATAACGAAAACAGCTTTCAAGAAGGGACCTCTGCAGTCCAGCAGCAGGGAAGGGGTATTTTTATCCCTCTCTCAAAAAGCATTCTGCTAAAATATGATTACAAATGTCATACCATAGGGAAGTAAATATGGCAATAATGAATAAATACCTATATATATATATGTTGAAAACATATTAAAAATATACTGGTGTTCTTTAGCTGATACTGATAAAAAAGTCTGACTGATGGGAGACCCCCCCTCCCCATGTTTATATTAGTTCATGAAAACACAATGAACTTTTATTTTGCTTTAAAACAGTGCACAGGGAAAAATGAGGCACATTCTACATGTCAAAACTATGTATATGTTTAATAGTTTTGCTGTAGGACATGATGGGGTGCTTTAAAATGTCAGACAAATGCTATGCCAAAAACATAATCACTAGGTATTATTTTGCTTCTGTTTAGCATATAACTTCAGCTGGGACTGGTTTACTGATGTAAAATTTTGATAATTTCTCCCTAATTTTAACATCAAATGATGCAATGATGAATTTATATCAAAGTTGTCTCATTCATAAACTCTGGTAAGATATGCATATCAAAAAGTTGTGCAATCAAACATTCTCAAGAGGTAACATATCTTTTGGGGTATTATTTATGGAAATAATCAAAATATTTCTTTTATGTGGCATGAAACAATCATTGTGTCCCATCCTGGAGAAAACCATGAGTCCAATGGGACTGCCTGTAACACTAAAGTACAGATGTAAAGGTTTGCAGGAGTAGGAATCTAGCGGGAGGAAACAAACCTTTGTCCCAATAAAATGGCAAGGACCCAGAAGTGTTAGTTCTATATTTTATGTTCCATTAAGTCTCCAAACTGTTTTCAAGACTATCTTTTTCGATTAAAATCCACTAACTTCAGATTCTCAGCAGCTTTCAAATAAATATGAAATTCTGAAATTTGGGATTTATAGTGTATGTAATAAATTCAGATGATCTCATGCTAAACAATAGCCTAATGAGACTAATACTTCTAGCCAAAAAAAGCTACTGCAGTTCTTTAACAATGCTAGTAAGATGGAAGTGATGTAAAAAACTTCTTAACTAGATGTGAATGAAATAAAAAGTAATGTAAGATGTATGAAGTAAATAATTAGCATAAGTTCACATTTAATACTATTAAAATAAAATCTATTGCTTACTCCATAGATGCACGCTAATCCTTCATGGTTTTTTTTTTTGTATTTCAGTTTCAAAACTGAACACAAAAGTACTACAAAAGCCTGATATAATTTAGACTAGACAGTACTGAATTTATCTTTAATACATAAATAGGTGGTTTTTGAGACTGAAAAACATGCATTGTTCATACAGACATGAGAAAAAAAGTAACTATTTTGTACCAGAAAATATTTGCAGCAAGTAAATGTAAATGTTAAGAAAAGTAAATGTTAAGAAAAGTAAATGATAAATATCTTTAAAAATGTACATTTTAATTTGCCAGTATATGCTACATTTGTCAAAGATCAGATGCACAGTATATAGCTTAAAAATACTGTAAAGACATTATGTTAATACCATACAATATATTCTCTAGTCTACATTGAATGCTTTCTGCTTTCTGTTTTAAAATTCTAACTAAAAAAATATTGTAGAATATGGGTAAAAATTCCTATAAACTTCCAAAGGCCTAGAACTGAATCCTACAGTAATACAACTCAGAGCAGTGGAATAACAACTTGCAGAGCAGACACAGGCATATTTATTCCTATAATGTGATCTTTATATGTGTGTATGTGTGCATGCATTAGATCATTAGATGTATTGGAAGTAAACAAGAAAGTACTGCAAGAAGATCTTCACAGTAATTAAACAAAACGTCATTCAGTTAATTTTTAACATTTGCTGCATAGTACTTATATTTGTGTAACAGAAAAAACGTGTCCATGTAACATTATTTCCCATATACTGATCCTGTTTGCTTGGAGTCAAAGCACATTTTCCCCACAAGATAGCATTATTAGCAAACCAATTCAGGAGAACGAAACACACAATAAAATAGGTAAGTTTTAAAAATTAGTGTCAATATTCTTTTAATAAATCCTATCCTAATTAATAAAGTGAAATAATGCTGCAGTAATCATACAGCACAGCTCATGTTTTTTTCCTTAGGCAAAGATAACTGATTTTAGCTCACAAGCAATGAAGCTGCTATCTATTGTATAATCATTCAAATTTTACAGTCATAAAGTTATCTCTCTGTTATTCTTAAAACCAGAAAATACACAAAGCACAAAATAATACTATTGTTTTCTTAAGCTTTTACAATATATCAGCTACAAGTGGCTGATCACACACAAACAAAATAGGGATAGAAATGAATGATATTATGTGGATGAATGGTATTTGACACCTAAGAGAGAATGACACTGCAATGAATTCTGAAATTTATTCAGTTATTGAAGGGGTTACAGATGGAAATTCCAGTGCCCTTTTTTCCCACCAAACAGTGCTTTTGAACAGAAGGAGTAGTGTAGGTGACAGAAGTAAACTTTTCATGATATCTTGAGATAACCTATAAATAAACCCTTAAAATTCTTTTCATACTGTTTTTTTTTATATATCATGCAGCATGTAAAATGTGAGTTTAAATAGAGCATCTCATGTTTAATGTAACCGAATATCACTTTATTTTTAATATCAAGATAAAAAACTGATATCTGATTAAAGGCACATTATTTTACAAAATCCAACTATTAACAGTATGTTTCTACTACATTAATGAAGCAGTTTACGCTAAACCTTTTGAACCTTTCTACCTAATAAATTATTATATATTATTAAGCAGGTAAGTTTGTTTTTCTGCATGGCGCCCAAGCCGATTTTAGGCTTCCTTTGAACAATTATGTTACTTCAAGAAGAAAAATGGAGAAAGACTGGCCTTTCATTTGAAGTGGAGCCGTTCAAGAGGTTTAATGGTCTCTGGGGGCATCTACTGGAAATCCGGAAAACTGCACGCAGGACATGTTAATCCCGGGGCTGTCAGTGCGGCGGGGCACGGCCGCAGAACAAAGGAAGGGGACCGCGCTTGTGAAACGCGGGAGCGCAGCGCCGCCGGCAGCGCGCAGGGACAACGCGGTTTGCTCCCTGCTTCTACAAAGGCTCCGGTTTGCCTTACGCCGTGCCGCTGAAGCACAGTGCCACAACCACACAAAAGCTGCCTGTAAGGAGCTCAACCGGTCGAACTGGAAAGAGCAGGCAGTTCTGTAATGTTGGCTGGGTTTAATGTTAAAACTGAAGCATGAGGTGAATATAAACCTAAAGTCCTCTTTCCCTTTCGAACGATCACATGGGCATGCCAGGAAAAAAAATGTTTCAGATGGATTTTTTTGAAAACAGATTAATTTTTAATGAAATATGAAACATATATGTGCATTTATGGCAAAAACAAAGATACCACTTAATCTGTTTTTAATTTCAAGCAGATTTGTTTCATTATTTATTTTTTTTTGATCCCTGGAATTCAACAGATGAAAAATATGATACTTAAACATAAACAGTGCTGAGAATCCACTGTTCCTCTGTACAGCTACCTCTGTCATTACTGAAATCCCACAGATGTTGTAGCGTGTTTATTTAATCAGACTGGGTCAAACATGAATGAGGTCCACTTAGTAGCTCTGGTAAGGTATGATGTATTTAACCTATACCAGCTGTTACTGCAATGTGGCATTTCATGCATGAAGTGCTGAAAAAAATCTCTACCCTTCTGCATGTGTGTCATGGGGTGAGAGATCAGAATAATTTTTAGCACCAAACAATCAACCACGAAGAGTTGAAATTGTCATTTTGATGATGCCATGCTATAGGTAAGGATTTCATGTAGTATATCACATGGGTGGAAGAAGCTATTTATTGAATGTGGATCTGCAAGCTTGAAAAGACACTGCTTGCTATAGTTAACACTGTGCTTTAAGTGTACCTCGTATTCCTACAGGCATTATACTTTTCTTAAACTCCATAGCTACTTATATGATTTTCTTATACAGATTTCTTTTTATTTATTATCATTGCTGTTCTAAAATGATCTGGAGTCATGCTAAGGAACCACAGAAATCTGATTCTAATCTGTCTTTACCCATGCAAAAATCATAAATAATAACCTTCAGCGGGGCTAATGAAATTACACTGTTGTTGCAATCTCAAGCACCTTCCTATCTTATAGCATTGTACTTTTACAAGACTGTTAAGCAAAGCTAGGTGATCAGGACAGTACTGTATTACATTCCCTTTAACTTAAATTCCTGAACAGCAAGGCTATTGGCATTCTACCCTTCGCACTGAAAGAAAGAAAAGAAAAAAGAAATTAAGAGACCAAGAGGCAGGTACAGGTGTTGGAAAAATTCAGAACAGTCAGTATAGCATAACAGAGTTATTTAACATTATTTTAATTCCCCATGCCTCCTGTCTGGTGTGGTCAATTACAGACAAGCAAAATAAGTGTAAAAGTCTACTATTTTCAGATGACAGGTTTTTTTTTTTGTGGTGTGTTTTTTGGTTGTTTGGTTGGTTTTGGGTTTTGGGTTTTTTGTTTGTTTGTTTTTTTAGTATCAGGGTTCATATCTTTAAATTTGTAGGATTTAATTACTACTATAGGTTAATGCCGGCTGATTACAAGTGTATTGTAGCACTCCCATTTTGTAAAACACAAAATGGCATGGATTAAACAATGATATATGAAATATTAAAGTATACTTCCAGTGTAAAATAATTACTAATTATTATAATGTTTAAAAACTGTATTCAAACAGGTTTCATCCATTTGGGATTTCCTTCTTCAGTTAGTAAATCAATGACTGACACAAATGCCTTGGAGAAGGCTCACAAAATTATGAAAAATAATCAAGACATTTTTGCTTAGGTTTGTTCAAACAAATACATT